TATCTCATCAGATGAAAGCATTATTTACGTTCTTAGTTAGGCGATTTTGGTCAAAGTTACCCGTTGGTGATTAGTGAATGAAAATTGAAACTTAAAACTGCGGCTCCAGAAAGTTTACTATTGCTGTTTATGAGGCATCAAATATCTACTCAGAGTAGTCGAAATAGATTAGTCGTTAATTTTTACTTCGGTGGTTTTATTCAACGGCTAAAGTTCCCAACAGATTGCCATAAAAAAAACTATCGAATTTAGCAAATATATGGCTTACGTGTCTTATGAATAGAAATTGAATCCTAAATGTAGGCAACATTTAATTTTGTAACCCTTTTTATTGAATCCTAATATGTTCTGAGCTTCGGCAAGTATAATCAAGACCACCTACACTTTTATTTTTCTAAACAGAATAATCCGTTGTTATAAACTTGGAAATCAATTCTTAATTGAAGAAATGTGACTTCGTTATACTAACTAAATTCGGACAACCAGTTATAACACGTTTTCATCCATTCTGGAAGAAGTTTTCTTAGTTAAGTATCTTTTGGATTCTTTCCAATCCGACAAAGTCTTAATATTCTCTCTCTCTAGTGTCCAGACAATGGTTTTACTCCCCATGTTGAAGATGTATGAAATCCTTTTTTAAATCCAGCAATAAGACTTACTATTCTCTAAAGCTAGCACTAATTTCAATCTCTTCGTTTTCTTAACACTATCTATCGCTCACTAATTCTATTTTAGGTTTAGTGACCGTTTGTTTGAATAAAATTTGATTTCATGGATCGTCCCATATGATTCGTGGATATTGTATGTGTTTTTTTCAACTTAGCGATACCATTGTTGCTTGTTGAGCTCTTATTACATTTTATTGAGTTTATGTGGTAACAGCAGATTGAGCTTTAATATAAATTATTGAGCTTTCGTTGTGCTTTTAAGAACTTTCGCCAAAAATATAAGTTCCTATAATCATTCCTAAACTTATACTACTTTTGACAATTTCACATTATCTAGAATAAAATCAGTGAATAGAAAGTATTTGTGAGTTTAGTTCTACTAAAGAGCTTTCATTACTTTTTGGAGTCACTTAAAGTTTGGATATATATTCAACTGCTCTGCATAACAGCAATTCGCTATACATTTGAAACAAATTGTTAACACAAAATCACATATAAAACAGTGTCGGAGCATCAACAATCACTTTCGTATTTAAACTAAAAAGCATTTGCAACACTCGCTGGCATGGTGGCACCTCCCTTCGGCCGATTGGCGAGCTTTCATTAAGATTGTTAATTTAAGATCTGTGGCGTAATTTACTTTGCCATGCAACATAATGTTGATGCAACATGCTGCATGCAGTCTGTTGCAAGTTTTAAATATACACGTGATTTATATATGTATGTATATGTGTCTGTACTGCATTTAACTTTTAATGCGAGCAGCGCCAGATAAATAGAATATGTCGTTTTAAAAGACTGACTGCTGCGAAACTTCGGCGTGAAATGTGTGCATGTGTATTCGTTTCAGGTAATTATTGCATTTACAAGTGCATGTATGTGAAAGAAACATTCTATCATTCATACACATGCACATATGTGGTGAATCGATTGGTGGAGATGATCCATCGAAAACTCGAACAAAACGGCGGCAAAACCGAACCGAACCGATCCGAGATCCGAACTGATCGAAAACTGTACAGGCGAACGTATACGCTGCGCAGCACGAAGATCCAGCGAGGCAACTATTCCATCAACTGAACACAACCTGTCGCGTGACCAGATGAATGAATCAGTAACATTGCCGGTGCAACATGAAATCATGATAAAGCAACGAGATCGTCTAGCAACGTTGCAACGAACAGGCCGGATGTTGGCGCGGCAACCTGCAACACGAAATGCCTATCAGACGGTATCGGCGCTCACACACACACACCGCTTCCGATCAGGCAGTGATTCATGAGTCACAACGGTCGAAGCGTTCCGATCAACCGTCCACGCCGAATGTCGGGATCCGCCCTTGTACTGCACGCCAACGCCATCCAAACGCCATCCATGTGGCTGGCGCCGCCTGTCTGCTGTCTGTTCTGATTTGCCCACTGCCGTATTCCTCTGGTAATTACAGTCGCTACGCCTTGTTGTAGCCCGGTTAGTTCAGGCCAGATCAGCGTTGTCGCCGCTCTTGCTACAAACGCGCCCTTTACACAAACCATGCGTACGATTGTCCTGCGAAGTTGCAGCAGTTAACCGAGGCACCAACTCAGCTGTTACAGCCAGTGGAAGAAACTCAAGAAATGAGCAGAAGAATCAGTGAAGACACCAGGTCAGCGCAAAACATTACAGCCGCAACACAACGTGCTGGCAGCAACACCACATTTTACGATGCCACAAAATGAAGTAGCCACTGCGCTGATATTGTGTTATTACCATTCGCCAGCGCATGGCGGTGCATCAGGCCATTTATGTCCCTCGTCTACGCCCAGAAGTTACTATATTTATTTGTTCTTAGCATTCAGTGCCACACCCTATGTTGCATTTTAGGGCACATGTTACAACTGTTGTGGCGAGCATGATCTATGCTTAATTTCGGCGGCACACAACTTGAACACTCCTTCCTGCACCTTCCTGAAACAGTGGTAGCACCTGTCAAATGTCGGTGTTTTGTTCTTTGTATCTTCGTTTATATTTCCATTGTTGTTATTGTTGTGGGCATTATTCTGTTGCCAGAGGCCACCAAACGCTTTCTGCTGTTCCTTTACTGAATCGAAGATATTAGATTCTAATGTTTGTGTAGCACATACACATATACATTGTTTTTCATATTGCTACTTGAGCTATCTTTTATTCCTTTGAGCACCCTTGTTACAACTGTGATTTTATTTTAGTTTAAGTGTCTGATATAATGATTATAATTGTATGGCACGAAGAAAGTCGCCTTGTAATCAGCCAAAAGGAAAGGAATTTCGTTAGATAGTTGATAAATAAAATAAAAGGTCAATATTGGCAGGTAATGAAATTAGCAGGAGGTATCTACATGTCTGAAGAGTACGAAATCTTAATAGATGTGAGTTTCAACAGAAGATCTCTTTGATTGAGGAATAAAAATACTGGTATCCGTATTGTAAAGATTATATGAGTTATATACCATTTGATCAACCGACCTGACTAGCAAAACATATGCTTTCAAATCTTATCATCAGTACATTCTCCTGAGTCACGCTTTATCTGATTCGGCACACTTGTTATAAGTTTCTTTGGTTCGAGTTCAGTATTGCACACTTTATACCAATGATGCCAGCTATTTTATAATTTCGAAGCATTTTAACTTTACTAAGACTAACTTCTTCTTAAAAGTTAATTTCTTATCTGTAACCTTTTTAGAACAAAACTTTTTACTCCTTTTAGTAAACTTTAAGTTGAGAACAATTGAAAATTTTTCGTTTCAGTCAAAATTAATACAAAGTAACGAGGCTCGATTCAGAATCTTAAGCCCAGTGATGATAAGATTATCAAATCAAAGCAACTTAGAACAGTTCATTTTACGAATTCTAAAAAGCTTAATGAATTTGTTATATAAGTAAACATACCATTTGCACCTGTTTAGAATATGTTATTTTGTTCATCGCATCTTTCACCACGACGCTAAGCCTATACAGAAGTGAAGAAATAATCTGAGCTTAACGAACCGACGAAGGGGTCTTTTAGAACCCGAATTGTAAATTAAATTCGTCATCTATTACTTTTACCCATTACGTTCTGTTCCTACTATGATAAACTATTTCGACTAAGTACTTTATAATCATAATTAAAAGTAAGACACTTGAAATGATGCTTAACAATTGTAAAATAACAAAGAAAATAAGAATCCAACATGAGGCAAGAATTTGTAGTTTTAATAATCATGCATGTGTGCACAGCCCACCATCTTGCTAAGCTTATGAACAAACTGTACTCACGCACTTAAAGTTCATGTTGTCGAATTAATAATTCACTGGTACCGATAAGCTGCACATTTGATGGCCCATCAATACCCTTGAGTGCATAAACAAGTATGCCGTATTTTTCGCCGTTAATGGCTGCTCGTTGATGCTATGCTGAACCAACAAACACGAGAGATGAAATAACCAATTTTACGCCGACTGCGCTAAAGTCGTCCTCTTCAAATGCATCTTCAAAAGAAAGTGAGGAAGAATAAATTGTGATGGGTTTATATCATATACCCACCATAGATGAAATGGTATTTAGAACTATGTTGTTCCCTCAAAGTCGAACTGGAAAGCATTTGAGAGAATCAGCCATTTTTGGTCAAATTGCTGGTTGTTATTGCTACTGAACTGGGTCATTTATGTAAATCCGCTGATGGGTCAAGCCTACAAATCCATATGGATCAGGATAGAGGCGCAGCCGTAGATATATTCTTCTCAATAATTAAGTCCAACGAATTTTAGCCACATGATTTTCCTTACATATTTTCTTCTGTATTTTTACTATCTTTAATGAAAAGTACCGAAAGGCATTAATTATTGACAACAGTTTCATATATAGAAGAAGTATTTCTGGGAAATAACTGAAAGAAGATTTAGGCATGAAATACTGTACAATACCATTAATTGTGGTATAAAACGCTCAAGTCGACTTGAACCGTTGATCTATAGACGGAATATAACACAAGAGTATTTAATGACGATGGCTAAAAGTTTTTCATATAATTTAACTGCAATCTATATTTAGTTAAGATATAACGGGATACGTCCACTTTGCAACCGTTACAAATACTTTTTATGCATTTTTAAGAGAAAGACATACGTAAGAAGGTCGTGTTCACGTCTATCGTGAATATGTTATAATATCTGCTAATTTCTGAAAGTTTTAACTGCTTTTCAACCGTGTCGTCCAACCTGTAAACTTAATATCCGTACCACTTACTTCAAATTTTCAATTTTTGTTTTATATTATGCTTACTGTTTGTTCACTAACTGCTATCACTTTCACCGTTTATTCATGTATTTACAGTTATTGGCCAACAAACCACGCCGCCGGAGTTGCCAATCTACGGTGATCCCTACACGGAAATTGCATCGATCGGCCTTCCTAAAGGAACCTGACATTCCTGCTGATTGCAAGAAATTGTGAAGCTGCTGCAGCCGCTCGATCGCGATGAGGAGAATCTGAGTCACACGTCTTCAGGTAGAGGCACGAAAGCGAATTACAAGCTGCTTACCAGAAACAAAGCCGAGCTCAAAAACAAGCGGAAACACATGTGTGGAATCCGGGTCTGAGAGTATACGAAAATGAGCAATTCAGGCGATGCAGCGCGCTGCTGGGCGGCTGGCTAGCGGTAATATATATACAAGTGCAGGGAGGCACCGAAATGGCGTGGTGTATGTGTAGATGAAAAGTTCGCGGTGGCTTGCCGCCGTGAGATTTGTTTGTGAAATGCGCTCTTTAAGTATGCAGTTTACAGTTGCATTAAAATGCGCCAGCCACCACCAAAGTATGTAGAACGCTTAGCTAATAAACAGAACATGCAAGCGTTTTATGTTTACTTGTGCCATTTGGCGTGCGCTTTTATTTGTGTTTATTTATTTTTGGTTTTTACTTTGTTTAATTTTGTTTTATATTTTATTTCATTTCGCTGCACCACAGGTCTCCTGTTCGATTCGCAACGCAACCAACAAGCGACGCAGCATTCCGATTATTGTGCGCGTATCTGATGTCAACGACAATGCGCCGCGCTTCATGAACACACCCTATGAGGTCACCGTGCCGGAGGTAAGAAATGAACAATCTCTATGAAATTACAAAAACAAAAATTTAACAACAAAGTACAAGTAACATTAAAGAAGCGTACATTAGTATATGCATGTGTGTATGTAGAAGTATTGGCAAAAAGCGAAAAAAGGAAATTAACAACTTTTTTAACTTTACGAAAAACCATATTTGTTTGTGTTTTGGCTTTAATTTGCCTCTTCGCCGCAATCTTGATAATCTGCTTAGCGGGAAGCGACTGCGTCGGCGCACCGGCACACCATGCCGCTGCTAGAAATGCATTTTCGCGCAGCGAAATTTATATTTGCTTTCCTATTTCCTTCGCTATGTTTTGCGATCTATAACACCAACAGAAACAACAATAAAATCTGCTCCACTCCGATTTAGCTGGGATTACAAAACCACAATCACCGTGGCAACGCCAACAATTAAGTGTGCCTAGCTCTAAGGCAAGGTGTTTCCCGCACAGCCTATCGCTTGCTTAAAGCGTCCTCTTCCGCTGTTAAATGATTCGCATTGCACACTGCAGTCAAGTTCGCAAACCTGGTGGGTGGTTTCCATTGATCGCAACTGGTTTTTCGCACCCACGCACACTTTTATTTCTTTTAAACTGCAAATAATACCAACAAGAATTGCTCATAAATGCTCGCAAACATTTGTTAGTGGTGCTACCGTCGGCGTTGTTGTTGTTATTAGAACGTTTTT